TACACACATTATTACTACAGTGATGCTGACTACCGAGGCGGGTGCATGCAAGCCGTAAAGTGTGAAGAACCAAAGAAAACGGGTAGATGAGATACCGAGGAAGACCATAAGAAACACTAAATGGAAACAGAACTTTGTTTGTTTATAAGAACACTCTACAGAGTACTGTTACACTGGAATGATTAGTTTTGCATGGCGTGTTCTGTTTAACACAAAACAGGAGTGTGAAGGTTAATATTTTACTCACTGGAAATGTTTGGAATTTCAGTTTGTGTTTATTCTAACACCCATAACCCACCGAGTATAAAGGTTTGAAGGGAGAAAATTACAAATCATTCCCTTAGAATTACCATCTTGTGTGCGCAGTAAATGTTAGTTCCTTTAAATTAATCATTTGCACACCTACCCAGGAGTTACGTCATTTCACCTGAGTAAGTCGTGCATCAAATTGCATAAATTGGCCCCCGCCTCTTTCTTAATTTAGACACCCTTCTTCCCTCTGCTCAGGTTCTTTGCTCTTTTTTTTATATATCTGTAAATTTGTGGACTACTTGCCCCAGATGTCTGTGATATTACAAAAGGGTGTAGGCCTCCTCACACTAGGCAATCCGTTATGTTTCAATCGCCTGAAAAATGCCATTAACCGCTATTGCTCAAAGAGACTGCAATTCGGTGACACACCGTAGCAAGCATATTATCATTTGTAGCGCTGTAGCCTACTAATTGGAGGATGCATCGAAAAGCCAATAACACTAAACAAATAAGCAGCAGTCAGTACAGAGTCTAATACAGTACAATACAACTGAGTTTTAGGTCGTGGCCTCAACCTGTTAGGTCAAAACTGTGCGCACAATAGCTGATGTTGGAGAAGTGCAGCCATGCTGAGCTCCCTCGTAACGCAAACCCTGGTCTAAAACTAGTAGGGAAGGAGTTACATATTAGAATGATGCCTTGTTGTTATTTATTTAGTTCGATGTGCATTTACGTTGGAAAACTGTCAATAATTGCAAATGAGAACTGAAATAAATCCTCCTCCTGCTATCACCCATGGCATGCTGCAGAACCTTGACATGAAGATGGTATAAACTCGACGACGATTGCAGCTTCATAAAGTTTTTATGGCAAATAAAGAACATGTTTTGTCGGGATTGGGAATGAAGCTCATTCAACAGTATTAATGTGAGGGAATTAATTCAGTTTCTAAGGGGACTAATTACTATTTTTAAGGAATGTTTATTAAAAAATGTGGCCAAGCTATGCAGAAGTACCACAATGCGAACTTCGCTGAATGTCTCCTCCTTTGTGTTTCAGGTGAAAACGCAGGAGGCTTCTGTGAGCTCGCCTTCTCTCCTGGTTGGGGTGTCATGAGGCCCTGGACTTCCTCCATCTCCTCTTCCTCTGCTGTCCTGGGACCGGCTCACCACCAGCGCCCCCTGCAGCCAGCCTTCCGGTAGTGCACCAGCCCCGTGATCCTTTTCATCATCATAATCATCATCATTTCAAGCCGAAAATGCTGGAAATTCTGGCTCTCTTATCGGCTGGAGAAAATTTCAGTTGAGTGGCGCCTTTCTGAGTGCTGATGAATGTTGGCGCTGGTCGACTCCTGCTCGTTGAAGATGAGTTTATGAATGTGAATGATTTATAATGGTTTTATTGTTGGTGTAATGTGTGTAACTGTTATGAGGGGCTTTTGTTGAGGACATCAACTGAAGTGTTTTCTCTCATTTATATGAGACCAGTCTGAGTTTGGCTGAAGTTGGCTTCTGATTCATAGCTTCTGATTAAGTCTTTCCCACCTCATTTTCAGAAATCCGGGTCAGTTTAATCCAAGTCTAGCAGTTTTTGTGGTCTGGGCAGATGAAAAATGTCGATGATACCTAATTTCAGTCTGTAATATAGCAACCACATGAGAAGAAATATTCTCTGTTAGCTTATAATCATAAGCTCCCATTCAGAAGCCATTTTCAGTCTTGTACTTTAACAGGGATTCAAGAAACAAAACTCCACGTGATGCCAGCAGGAAAGGGGCTTTGAAAAAGCCAAAACCGTGACCTGGTGAGGCTGCTGTTTGTAGTTAGTATGTAGAGTAGTCGCATGTGGTTTGAGCAGCTTGTGGAACCAAAGCCATACTCTCTGACGTACAGTAGATATATCTTTTTGTTTTGTCCTAATTGTACAATAAAATTGGCATAAAAATGGCCATCTACTGATAACATGTGGAAAATACTACAGAACTACTAATAGGCACTTTGGTCAAATAGCTGGTAGATGATGTTCTTGTGCATTTACTCACAAATAAAACACCAATTTAGGAATTTTCCTCATCGTCCCTAAACTCCAGAGCGTTTCAGTTAGTTCACTTCAGATGTTTAAAAAGTATAAATGGGTCCAACCCAGTTTTTCCTGCTGAAACAGTAACCCGTGCAGCATCAGTGTTAATAAAAGTACATGTTACAGACCGCACTCATCGAGCTGTTCAGCAGGTTTGGGCAACGCATCTGTTTAACATGAAAGAAATTTCTTTCTTTTTTTTAGTGCGTGATGACATCTCATTTTTGTAACCCAAAAATGGACCACACTTTTAGCTTTTATTTTTATTTTCAATACAGCTTTTGTTGTTTTGTTTTTTTTTTTTTGCTAAATTTGTTAAGCTTTTTGTTTGAATTTCCCTCAAGATGACAATCACTTTTTAAAAATATCAATCGTCTAGGAATCTAAAGTTCATCAAAACTTCGGTCACTGTGAAAAAGAACTTTTCTGAAATTGGGTATTTCGCTCTGGCTTCTCCACATTTAATTTATTTGTGAGTTTTTCTTGATTTCCCTGTATAGTAGGTTAGCCGTTCCTTTACGTGCATGAACTGTGGCTTCACTGGCCTCTAATACTTTTTACTGAAATATGCAATTTTTGGGTTACTGTGCAATAATAGCCTGTTGTGTTTGCTTTTTTGGTGTTTTAGGCCTGGGTTTTAAAGTGCCATGTCATCTGTTTTTAGCTGTGAAGCTGAATTGATTTAAACAAACTTGACTTTTGGATGAATATGTCCAGTTTTTTGACAATCACCATGAATGCAGCAGTTTTAATGGCCTTGTTTTTGGCTTAATATGAATCAGAGTTTTATAAACATGGAAAAAAGGCAACACCATAGAAGAGCACCGTAATGATATATTTAAAAAGCAATAAGATCAACCAAAGTGAACAACTTGAGTGTTGTCAGATCAGGTGTAACATGATCAAGTTTGAATATTGTTTGTGTGTAATTCCCCAGAAAGGTCAAAGGTCAAACTTAGTGTCTTTCTTAGTGTCTGTGTGGTTTTAGAAACCACATCTCATGTATGTACATATTAAAGGGATGGTGTGTACATCAATGCAAGTTTGTTTTTTTTGTCGTTGTCGCTGTTCGACAAAGACCAGCTGTATTTCTATGCATGTTCTCTTCGTTGAAAATGTTTTGGGGTAAAAAAAAAATTAAGAAGAAAGATCCTTTTTCAATAAAAGGGGAGAAAACAACATCGGTCTTGTTTGTCGTCTTTCTTGGATCAACCAAACAAACACAAAGCAACACTTCAGGTTACAAATTGCAAAGAATGCTGACTTATTTATATTAGTTGTCACTGTGAAGAAATGATTTAAATATAGTGTAGCACACAGCCTATAGTGAAATGTAACTTAGATCTTAAAAGATACGGTGGTCTGATCACTAAATATATTATACTGTATAGATAATTAAACACACTGGATGTTCGGGATGAATCATAAATACATCATAAATATTATCAGGTGTTTTATTGTTTCACCATCATAATAACTGCAGGATTTTACTTATTCCCTTAAATTAAAAATTAAGATAATTAAGGCAGGTAAAATTTCTGAAAATATTGCAGAAATAAGTTAAAAACATATTCAAGGCATGTTTTATTGTCTTTCAGCAGGTGGCAGCAGACTCCAACAAAGCTAATAAACTAAACCAACACACACACACACACACACACACACACACACGCACACACGCGCGCGCGCACACACAAACACAGGTATTCAACACAAATGGTTTTTACATATTTCTGGCATGTGGTGAGCACAGACTGTATATAACAAGGTGGTGAGTTTGCTGTGTCAGCAGGTGAAGCTGAAACCAAAGACCGGAAGAAAATTAGTGCGCCTTCGAAATAAAATCTGTGACCCTTACAAATTGCAAAGACGTCAATATAAATTTATGTGAAACATGATGATAACGTGCACTACCTTTTGATTTTATTCTTTTTAAATAAAAGATCGAATACTTCTTGATTTTTATTATTTCATTCTTAAATTTAAATTGAATTTAATGCATTTTTGTATATTTTATTTATTGTATAACAAGTTTTTTTTTATGTGAAGCACACTGAGTCTGTGTGTGCTATTTAAATAAAGTTTCCTACATGAAAATCTATCTATCTATGCATCTTTAACATTCAAATTGCATTTCCTACACATCTCATTAAAAGGAAAGGTACAATCATCTTTCTGAAAATCCTCTTTCGCAAAGTAGATGGATGTCTTTCCCTCACAAAAGGTTTTCAATCTGTTTCCAAGTTCTGTTTGTAGCAATTTGAGTGGCTGTTGATATTGTATACTGTTTACAATAATACAATAATAGACTAATTTGCAAAAGATCTCTAATTAGAAACGTGTATATGAGCTGATAAATTTAAGACTGTCATAAAGAATATGGTGATTGAGGCATGTCGTTGTTTTTCTTGTGAGGCTATTGTGTTTTCAAAGTTGTGCTTTTTGTTAGCATTTTATGTTTTATTGTGACATTTGTGTTGCATTTTCATATGCTGTGTTCATGTACGGCTGCTACCTTGGCCAGGTCTCTCTTGTAATATATATTTGATCTCAATGGGACTTCCTGGTAAAATAAAAATAAATAAATAATAAAAATAAAATTCTAAAAAAAAACTATGCTTTTATTTTCGTTCAACTCAACCGGATGTTGTATTCTCGTTCTCGCTAGCTTGACAGCCGGTGACCGGAGTCAGTGAGTCAGGAAACAAGCCGAACCGTGCCGCGCCGGGGTTAGACAGAGAGCTCGACCCGGTGTCTCCACACACACAGAGCCGTAGCCTTTATCTGAGGATGGAAGGACAAGCGAAGGGGACATTCACTGTCGGATAAATCACCGAGACGGAGAAAACGCACAGAATTCAGGCGGGAATCATCTGAAACCGCCCGTTAGGAGTGAGACGGACCTGCCTGGGTGTTACGGTGATTCTGGGCAGGTAAACGTTAGCAGGTAGCCCGGCTAGCTAGTCACGCAGCAGGGAGCTAGCCCACAGGTAGCTAGCAGCAAGCGTTTTAACTAACTAATTAACGAGTTAGGGTGGATGAACTGTTGCCAGACCCCAAAACGACATCTTAGCACGGGTGATTTTTACCTTTCTAATTACCAGCTGCCTTTGTAAACGACTCTAAACTCCCCTTTGTTATTGTCTTTTTTTTTTTTTTAAGGAGAAACTAGTGGTTGCTAGAGCTGAAGGGTTGATTGACAGCTTGTCACAACCGGTTTTCCAGATGTGGACTCGGCACGTTTTGGATTAGCTTGCCCGGAGCCGCAGGACTGGCTGCGGACCAGGAATGGCCTGGCTGCAACAAACTCTTGAGTGGACTCGACTCTAAACTGCTTCAACAAGCGATGGACTGACACGTTAAGCTAGTCAGTTTAGGGAAAGGTCATTCAGCCGTAAATTTAAAAAAAAAAGACAGGCTGTCAGCTGGGTCACAAACACACACGAGGGAGTGTTTTTACAGGGAAGTGGAAGAAGATGCACAGGACGGAAAACAAGAACAAGAGGAAACTCTGTAACATGGAGCAGCTTCAGAGGGAAGAGAAGGATGCGGTGAGTACTGAAGTCATGCAGGCAGTGTGTCACTATGAGGTGATAAAGTTGTGCAAGTTGGTGTCCTTGATCCGCAATGAGCCTGCAAGGCCACGCACTGGGCAGTATTTATGACCTGTGTTTAAATGTTTTGCTCCATTTATATTATAACAAGTCATGTGTTCATTAGGAGTCCAGGAGTATTTCTAGTAAGGGTGGCTTTCTAATATTAAATAACATTAGAATTGCTCATATAAGGTTTATTAGAAGGCAAGGCAGAAATGTATAGCACATTTCAGCAACAAGGCAATTCAAAGGTCTTTACATAAAACATAAAAGAAACAGGCAAATAAACAAAGAGTTAAATAGAAACTAGGTGAAACAATTTGTTCACCCGTAATTGTAATGGGTTAGGGTTTTAATCAAGCTTTTAACCTTCTGTTGTTTGCTTATTATGTCACCAGGCAGACCTCCCACGGTATTTCCTCTTATTCAGGATCGTCACCGTGAATCCAGATTGTTTGCGCAGCTACAATCTTGGTAAAAGCGAACAAAAACAGCAGCCGAGAAAGCTTCAGAACTCAGAACAGCCTGAAAACACCCAGTCACACGTCAGTATAATAACTTTACAGGCTGCTGATTTATGGTAATGGAAAAGCGTTATAAACTGGGCGCTTTGTGTGCACACATTTTATTCAACAATTAAAGGAATAAAATAAAAACCTGCTGAGACAAACAGCATGTGTGTGAGTCACCTTTTAGGGAAATATCAAAAAGCGATTGCTTAGTTTCTACTTTCATGACTGCAGCTGAGATGATGATCACATTCAGTGTGTTTATATATGCAGCCTACCTGGATGCTGTCCGTCTTTCTGAAAGACACCAGTCAGTAAAACATGTCTGGGTGTTTCTGGGGATTCTCCTTTCTCTGTTCCTGCAGCTCTGCATGGATTTTTTTCTTGCGATTGACCAAATTAATGTTTGTTTTTTTTACTCCGTGGTTGTGGACGCTCAATGCTGGATACTGTGGCCAGGTGTATGAATGGTATGTGTGTGTGTGGTGGGTTGCTTAGGGAAACAAATGCAATGCAGGGCACTGGGTGGAAGGTCTAAAGTGTACTAAGACACCCTATCGCTGAAACGATGATGCGTTTATGTGATATAGCAGTTATTTTAGGAAGGTGGGGAGCCTGCATTGGTATCTGTCCTCCTCCTGTGAAAATGGATAAACATTTTAATATTGTTAAAATTAAAAGTTTTGAGAGATGCAGGTATCTCAGTATCTCAACACTTTTGCCATCAATCCGCCCGCCCGTTCTTTTTTGTGTTAGGCAACATCAGCCTTGTCTTAAATATCGCTTCTTAACAGAATTCTATGTTAGCTCTCCTAACAAGATGTTCAGGTCGACGTGCGCACTGCTGATGCATCGTGTGCTTCTAATTGAATCCAGCTAGTTGATTCAGTATCGGGCCGAAATCTGATATCGGATCGGTGCATCCCTAAAAAAAAAAAAAATCATACACCTGCATCACTCTGCTTCCTGTTTATCTACACAACATTCGCTATGACCCTCTTTGAAAACAACCTGTAGCTGCGTGCAGGACTGAAAGGAATCAGTATCAATGGCTGCTTGTTTGAAACGCTATTCGGGCATCTCACACGTGTTTTAATTGTAAAAATTTAGATTTTATTTGTCTTAGTTTGCAATAAACATGGACACGGTTCTTAAAATAATGAAAGCTACTTCCAAAGATGTAGTCATAGCTGCAGCTCATAGATTCACATTTCTGCATGAAGTCATGTTCCTCTTGGTTCTCCAGACGCTCGATATGACTGACTCTTGTCATGCAATATTACCGCACCACCCCTGCCTTTAGGGACATCATGCGAGTTACGAGATGAAATGTAGTCCGACTGTTTAGATTTGCACCAGACTGTCACGTTTTATAACCATTTCTTGTTACTAAGATCAAATTAACGGGACGGTTTAGACGTTTAACGACGAGGTCTGAGTCGGGGGAGGGAGGTGTTGACTTAGAGGCTTTATGGCATCGTGGGAAGTCGGACAGATGTTTTTGAGCTGCTGCTGTTTTTATAGTTTTTTTTGGGTGAAACCATATAAACCAGACAGGGAGTTTTCATCCTGTACGACTTATTTTCTTTTGCTTACGCTCTGGAATGCTGGGTAATAATTCATGTCCCTGTTGTGGTGCTGTAATGCTTCCCAGGGCCGCCAGCTTGGATTTATCTGTTAATCTGTGAAAAAAATATGGCTGTTATTTTCAAAATCAGTTAATCTATTGATTATGTTTTCCATCAAACAGCCCGTGGAGACGTCCTTGAATGTTTTGCTTTGTCCAAACAATGATACAAAGCCAATCCTCACAGTTTAGAAGCTGGAACCAGAGAATAATCTGTATTTTTTGCGGATGCCTTAAACAGTTAATCAGCTGTAAATTATTGATAAATCTTATGCCTGTTGAGTAATTGTTTTTGAACCAAACCGGATATTGTTGGATAATGTTGCAGGTATTGTAGACCAGTCATCAGCATCCCTTCTGCATGTTTGCAGAACAACATTCAACAAGTCTATTCCTTGTAAACAGAACCTGCTGCCAACTTGACTTTAATTGCAGATACGTTTTTACCATATCCTGACCTGAAGGCAGTACGAAGCGTCCAACACATGTAATGCACACACACAGATCCTCCATGTAGGAGCGCTGGCTTGTGTATAGACACAAACAGCAACTGTGATCACAGCCCGTCCTCTGGCAGCTCTTCAGGTTCTCTTACAGACCGTCAGAGCCGACACGGACTGCAGCTTTTAGCTGGTTACAGTTACAGCATGGGGAAATTAATGATGTCATTGTCATTTCCTAACGTGAGAGTGTGTGTTTGTGTTTGTGTTTTCTCCCTGGCAACATTTTAAAACACACACACACACACACACACACACACACACACACACCAACATCCTCTGCAATCAAAGAACCCGTCCGCTCTTTCTGTCCAGGGACCCTTAGTTTCCTGACAGTTGAAGAAACATTACATGTAAGCTGCTCACACTAGTCTAATTGAAATAACGGGTACAGGACAAGTGTGCATCATTTCAGTCAGCCTGATTAACGGTTCCCAAATGTCTGGAAAGTGTGATAAAGTAAAGACATGACTGTCTCTCTCTCTCCCTCCCTCTCTCAAGGCCAAATTCCCCATTTGTGCTCTCGACAGATGTATTAAAAACATAAATGCGTAAATGTTAAAACTGTTTGTTTTGTTTTTTTGGACAATAATCCATCTTGGCATCAACAAATTTATTTTAAAATGTTTTGGCCTTGTCATATTTATAAAATGACAAAGATTAATACATTTAAAATGTATTTTTATTTATTTATTTGGCCTTGCTAAAGTAGTTTTAAAAATGTGGTGTTTTTGTTTGTTGAATACTTGAAAATTGAAAATTTAAAAAAATTTCAATTTCTAAATAATACTTAAATTTTTTAATAAATGTGCAGTTTTTAACCTTGACAGATTTATTAGTGCCAATTTTTTAGCTGCTTCTGTCTTAAAGGTTTGGGCACAGTATCTTCGTTTGGTTTCACGCATCCTGCTTTTCTTGAAGAGAAATCACCTTTAGAATTAGGACTGCAACTAACGATTATTGAAACGAATAATCGACTATTCGGATAATGAATTGTAAAATTACAAAATACCTCTAATTTAGCTTTCAGCTTTTAAATTAAACTTAAAGGCAAAGCAGTCCTACACACAAACAGTCAGACAATGTTCCTGCAGTGGACCGACTAGCATTTACTGCAGCTGCGTCTTATTCCTTAAAGTTTGCTGTATTGAATTCAGATTAAACTCAACACATTAAAAATGCAGCGCAGTCTCTTCTTAATTTAGTCAGAAGCTTCTTCTTTCTTCTTTCTGTCTTTCTTCTTTTTCTCCCCGCTAAAAGTGTTTGGGCAGCAAAAACTCACCAAAATTGGTAGGTGGGTTGCAAATTCCTCTCAGGCAAAAAAAAATGGCGCTCTGTGACGGTTTTGCAATTATCTTGAAAGGGGCTTCATTTTAATCTCTGCATTCATCTGCATCTTTGCTCCAAAGGTCTACTTTTTATCACTTTTCTTATAAAAAAACAATTTTTGTGAACTCGTTAAACACCGTTTGTCATTTTATTTCACATTTTATTTGTTGGGAAAAAAAGGAGGCTGTACAGTCTGAATCGTTTCAAAACCATGTCAGAAACCAGTGATGTGGAAATTGGATTCATTTTAAGATATTCCACTATTTTCATTATTCTAATGTGCTTCATCAGGATGATTGAATAAAATATAGATTTATTGACATGTTTTTATATTTATTTTGGATAAATTGGTATATTAATCGAGTAATGGGCAACTTTTTTTTTTAGAATACACAAAATTAGTCGTTAGATTAATCTAAAAAATGATTGTTAGATTAATCGAGCCAGCCTCATTAAAGTTACATGATCTCAAAGTCTGTTTTCTACGACGGTAGCCTTGGCTCTTTGCTCTTTCCTGTTCATTAGGTACCTTTTTAAGTTAACCATTAAACCTGCTACCCTCCCCTGTAATGATATGGGAGATTGATTTTCCTCCCATGGTTTAACCAGCTATGAGCGATCAGAGTGCAGCTGAGGAGCCGTTGAGCCAGAACGACCTCTGGGACTCCCGGCTGATAGTCGTCCCAGTGCAGCACAGGCCGAGGCGCTGATTGATGGAGCCCAAATGGCTAATGTGTGCCATTTTAAGGTGCCTAGAAGGGCGCTAATGGGGAGGCACAGATGCAAGAGGGTGAATGACATTAATTATAATGCTCTCATTAACCAGAATTATAATCTAGAAGTCTCCCATACCTACATCAGTGCATATAAATAGCATTTTTTAGTGCGCAGCATCTGATTATCTTGTGGCAATCTGGGTAACGCGATGGGGGCAGGAGAAATGAAACCACACGAAAGGGACACGACAAAGCATTAAAATTCATTAAAGCTTTACTCATATATGTGTGTTCTCACTTTTCTAACCTTTTTTAGTTTGTAAGGTCAGGAAGTGGCCTCTTCTGTCTTAACCGCAGCTTTTCACGTGTAGCTTCAAATTAAGCTTTGGTCTGTTAAATCCCGACAAAAGCAAGAACAGAAGCCTGGTTTTTTAGCTTCCTAAACAACTTCCTTAATGAAGGAAATCCATCACTCTGGGCCTGCTTAGTGGCGCATTATGCCTCTCTATTTCAAGTCTCCCTTCCCCATAGTCATTGCAACTGAGTGATGTGCTGATTTCACACTGAGCTGAATGTCACATTACTCTGCCGTTCACAGATTCCTTTTTTACACCAAGATATAGCGAGCATGTGCAGGTATCCTAATTCCCTCTTCCCGTCGAGAAGGAGCTCTCTCACCTCGCCGTTCTGTGTTACATCTTGCACGATACGAAGAACAAAATCGCTGCTGCATGTTGATCTTGTAGACTGTAAAACAAAAACAAAAATGTTCCTTGCTAGCATTGTGCCAGAAAATCTAATATTCTAATATTATTTTTTTTTTGTCCCATTATGAAAGGGGCTTTACAGAACCTTTATTAAATGTTCCTTGCCTTTCTCGTTCTCTACCGCCTCTCCCTGGTCCTCTCCATCCTCTTTTTCCCAGACAGAGATGCAGTTTAGTTGTGTTCTGAGTTAAATTAACAGCCCACCAACTAAATGTTTGTTTA